ACTATCCTAGTCTTCATGATGAGGAATTAGTATGTACAAATATAAAACTTTTCATTTAAATCTAAATATGTTAAACGAAACTATCGTTTAGTTAAGTTAAAAGTTATTAGTTAAACGTTACTATCCTAGTCTTCATGATGAGGAATTAGTATGTACAAATATAAAACTTTTCATTTAAATCTAAAATAAAACTCACTCTTTTTGTGCACAGTCTTACATCTTTCAAACACAATTTGAACTGATGTATGAATGTGTTCATTTTTTGAATTATTAAACAATATGAAATCAGTCTTAATACTTGAATAAGAGCCTTAGCTAAGGAGTTCATGAGCATCTGTTATATCTGATACACCTAGCATATTATGCCTAGGTTTATGAAAAACTAGCCCTGTTCTCTGTTTTACAGTGCAGCTTTATTTACTTTGGCTTTGAAAGAAGGCATGTTCTTGCTCTTTTTTTGTATGTATTTTGTCAATTATATTTGAAATACTTTCTTACATATTTGTTAAAATAGCTCTTAAAATTTTCAGCACTTTTTACTGCATCAAGTGAGTGTGAGCTATTAGTGTGTGTGTAACTACGTATAGCACATATAGTAAGTCCATATAGAAAGCGAGACTGTGCCTACATATGAATGGAATATGCTGGCCTAATTTTAAATCAATGTGTATAATACATAACATGCAAAAAAAGACAGTATCAACCCTGTGGAAACAGTAGGGTGATATAAAACTAGCTGCTTATGTATAGTTCTGGGATAAAATGAAAGGGAAGCTACTGTGAAACCAGTCAAACTACGCACAGGAATGATTTTCAGAGCCAGAGATCATTCTGTTGAAGTCCTCTGTCATCTAAACCCAGAACTTTTGGCTCTAGTGATTTACCTGCTTTCAACTTTTCACAGTATTACAGGAGGACAAATACTACTTTAGGTCATGCAGGGGATGAACAAGGGCAATAGCCCTGGACCGCGTCCCAAAAGTACAGTAAGAACAACTGGTATGTGCTTCTGAATACATAGCCTACAAGTGAGGCTTTTTATCAGGCAGCACTTTAACAATAAAGGTAACTGCACATTTTGCTAATACATTCTTGCAGCTGCTATCTTATCTTCAAATCAAGAAGGTTTTGTCTTTTAAAAAAATAAATAGCAAATGCATTCCCTTGGGCAGGGAACTGAGCTTCCCACCATCCTGGGTTTGCAGGGTGCTTCATATGATAAGGGCATGCACTTTTCCCCTCGCAACGGAGGCTGAAAAGAGGTGGTTCAATAGATGGATGAGACATGACACAAAAGCATTCTTGGTTTCTACACAACATCTTACATCCTCTCTTATTTTGGAGGAGCTCCCAGAACAGCAACTGGGAGCCTGCGAGCTACTGGTGTTGCATTGCGGGAGAGGGGAACGGGGACTAAGGCGAAGGGTGAAGGCTATCTTGTAAGCTCCCCTGGGAAATACGCACCACAGCATTTGCTCTGCCACACTCAGAGACAGTTTCTGACAAAACAACACAGCTGGTGGTAAGATTCTGAAGATGTTTGAATAGAGGTTAATTTTGGTAACTAATGAACCTACAAGTAAAGGGAAATGTGCAACAACAGGGGCATTACAGGGATTATTTTGGGTCTTTTGGTTTTGTTTTTTTTTTTTTTCTTCAGTGCATACAATTAGAAAGGCCCAAAGAATATAATGGTATTCTTTCTTTTCAAGACAGGATACATTAGCACACAAGGGGGAACAGGGTATGAGGCTTGACTCAGTAAATGCCATTAACAGATAGTTCAATGAATGACATGCCCTACTGGTAAGATTCAATACATGCAAGAAAGAAATGAAAAAAAATCCAGTGCTTCAGTGACTGTCCACAATTTCTCAGACCATCACTCACAAGGGATGGGTCTGTTTAGGAGAAGCAAGCGATGGCTGAGACTAGTTACAAATGCCTAGACCGTGACTAGGGTTTGTGCAGAGACAAAACAACTTTGGCTTTTGCACTCCCAGCGCATGAAGTCTAGGGTCACATGGCTGCCTTAAGAGGCTACGTAGTTTGGTGGGTATTGCTTTACAACAGCCAATGGACCTGTATTACTCACCTGTTGTGAGTATTCATTGCCAAAGGTGATTTATATCGTGGGCACAGCTCCTGCAACAGTGTTGTTGCAAGAAAATCCATTAGGGAAATGTTTGTAATGATGAAGCAGACAACTTTCTTTTTGCTCTGCAGAGCCACAGGAGAGGAACACCATGTTTACACAACCGCTGCAGGAGAGAGGCTATCTATCTGCAAGATACTGTGTTCTAGTGAATCATCTCAGCAGTTTCTTCTAACATAACTCCCATGGAATGGAGGGCAAGAATTAAGGATGTTCCCCTGCTAATGGAGAGCAGTGTGGAAGCCCTCCTTGCCCTCCTTTACAGTAATCTCCCAGAGGTACAGAAGACCTTGCTAGGGCACAAAAACATAATTTAAATCTTCCTGCATTAGCACTAATGAGGCTGGCCCATGCTCCTCTTCTTAAACAGACACTTAATTCAAGCACTCATCAATAAAGCATTCCCAAGACCTTGCACTTCATTGCATGGAGCAGAGATTGTCACTCTTTTGCCCATTGCGGGTAGAGGAAGAAACATCCCTTCCATGTACAGAAGCACACATACCCATACAGCCCTCTCTCTATATAATTAACATTTAACATCTTACATATAAAATAGCATAATTTAACAAAAAAAATCGAACACAAGCTCTGAAGTATGGTCAAACTAACCATATAGGTTATTCCCCACCTACATATAGGGAAGGTATACACTTCAACACACACCTTGAAGTATTGTAAACATATTTTAAATACATTTGTCCTACTGTCACTTTTGTCCCTCAGAGTCAAAGTAGTATACATCCCTCATTTTTTTAATGCTGTTTGGCAGTGATACAGCTTTAGTTTACAAAAATATAAGCCATATGCTGGTTAATCAAGCTTGATATTTTCTTCTGTCAGGGATATATGTGAACTTTTTACTTCAGAGATAGATACAGACATATATACATATATGGCAACTTTTGTATTTCAGAAATTATTTGGCCTGACTTCAGTTGTTCTTTATTCTATGTTTTTAATAAGTGATTTTTTGTGATTGTTTCCTTCTTCAAACTAGCAGGAAGAAAATTTATCTGTTATGTTAGGTCACCAGGAACTGCCTTTATCAGCCCAAACTGGTAAATACTGTAGCTGAAAAACATTCTTGAATACTTCAAAGTTACCACTAGACTATTTACTTCTTTTAAGTACTGGTTTTAAATTACACACTGGTTTTTAAAATAAGCTCCTTCTCAGGACTGCAAGCTGCTGCAGGTTGAATATACATTATATTTTATGAAGCAGAAATAAATGTTGGTTTCCTCTGTATCTTAAAAACCTGAGTAGAGGGAAAATGTGCTGTCTATAAATATTTTAGCCAATTTCTGAAATGCTCTGCAGGCTGCTAGTTAAATTTTAGAGTTGGTAAATGCAGCCTTGCAAGTCAATATTTTCTGAAAAATACTTCAGTGTGATCTTGCTCCCTGTTTTCTTCATCAGGGAGTGAAGAGTGAAAATGCACATAATAATCCTTGAGCAATATGTTGTCTGACTTTTGATATAATTTTGTCCATGAAAGACTGGCTTAAATTTGTTACACACTCAGCAGAAAGTACAGAAGCCATTTGCCACCCTGTCGAGAATTTTTAGCATATCTTTCAGTAATGATGCCTGAAACTAAGAGAAGGGTTTGGGCAGAAATGTGCTAGCCAACACAGTAAGGGAGGCTCTTGGAATTTAGCAGATATTTCCACTTATCAAGGGGAAAGGTTATGTCAAAACCTTTTGACGGTCTCATTCTAAAAATTTCTCATTCCTACTTATATTATAAATTGCTTGTCAACAAATGCTGAGAGATTTGGCCTCTTTCTGCTGTTGTACAAAGAATCCGAAATATCTCATGTCAATGCATTAGCTGCACTAAGGTAATTAGTAGAGGTATTTTCCCTCTGTGACATTAGGTCCCCAAGTGAAAAAACCCAGTTAATTTCCAGTGCCCAAAGTTAAAATAAACAGTATTTTATACCGAGTTTCTTTTTTCTGTACGCCTGATCTACCAGATTTTCAAAACAACACAACGGATTTTAGCGATTTGAGAGCTGGCAGTCAGGAAAAGGCATTACAGCGTGCGAGAAAAATTGATTGCAGTGGCACTTTTCACAACCACAGACAGCAAGCTGCTCTCAGAAGTCGGGGAAAACCTGCAAGGATGAGTTGTGGTACCTGATGTTACCTTTCTGTGGCAGCTGCGCGCAGTCATACCTTCTCCTGATCAATTGGCATCATGGCTATGCCAGAAACAGTGGAGTTAATATGTGGTTTGTGTCAACCTCTTGCACGGTGATGTGCGCGCACACAAGCATTCCAACGTGCCTTTGAACAATGCCTTTTCCCTTCGGGGGGATTGGTATCGCTTCCTTAGTGATAAACTTTCTTACTCCTGGTGGAGGAGCAGCCAACATACGCAATGATCAAAAGAAGTGCATTGAACTAACATGGTAACAGTCACAAATACCCATCCCTGCATCCCAGAAATGGGGTACCGGCAAAAATGCTGTTAGTGAAGTCCTGAAAGCTGAGCTCTTCCTGGGATGTCCAGGCAATCTCACTGCTGAAAGATCTGGAGAGTCGCAAGCTGGCAGTGGGATTTCCTGAAGAGATGCTCAGTACTCTTGCAGGAATCTGCCAGTGGTGTCTGGTGTCTCTAAAAGCCAGGGATTTCACTGCTTGTGATCTCTGCTTATGCATTGGGTAGTCAAGGAAAAAAAGGTATTTGCAAAAGACATGATATTTTTAGCTAAAAAATGCTCCATGGCTGTCAAAGGTGTTGATTTTATATATTCAGCACTGCACATCTGCTCCATTATGTTATTTCCAGAAATGAGACTAACTGTAACAGCTCCTTTTCCCTCTTTTGTTTCAGTTCCGCCTTTTATTCAGCCTTTTGAGTTCCCGCGGTTCTCCATCGGGCAGCGGGTCTTCATTCCCTGCGTGGTGGTCTCCGGGGATCTGCCCATCACAATCACGTGGCAGAAGGATGGCAGGCCGATCCCAGCCAGCCTTGGGGTGACGATTGACAACATTGACTTCACCAGCTCCTTAAGGATTTCTAATCTTTCACTGATGCACAATGGGAATTACACCTGTATAGCTAGAAATGATGCAGCGGCTGTGGAGCACCAAAGCCAATTAATTGTGAGAGGTAAGTAGATGTAATTAGTTTGAAGGGCACCAATTAAGCGGAATTTATCAGTATTTTGTAGTGACATCTGTTTGATGGGAAGTACAAAAAAGAGGAAAATACGGGAATCCCTCTCCATAACAGAGAGCACATAGAGCAATGAAGCACAGGAACTAGTATGAGTTTTTCTATCTAAAAGTCTGAAAACTAATCAACAACTCTGGAGTGCACAGGGCAGACGGGAGCCACAGGATTGACTTCCTGGAAAATTTTGTGAGGCACAAGCCTGTTCATTGGGTTCAAGCCTTTGAAATTCTATCGAATTCCTCTCTGTTATTGTTTTAGTCTGATTATCCCCATTTTTTATTTAGATCAGCCTCTCATACAATATTATGTCAGCAGGAAAAAAAAAAGCAGGAAAACAAAGCGTTGATGTTGACTTCACAGGGAAAAGACTCTCCCTGATAGCATGTTGCTGTTCTTGTTCTTATTTGTGTTTATTACACAATTAGCTTGATTCATTTGCTTGTGCTGACTTCACAACGTTTTGCCTTGAAATAGAGGTGAATATACTTTCAGTAAGGAAACGTTTTAGGTGGGAAAGACCTTTCAGAGAGATACCTTCCCTTCAATAGCATTTACCTTTCAAGTTACATCTTAGCCAAGTTCCCTAGAGATTATGGCTTGTGATACATTTTCAAACTTACTGTGCAAAACTTCAACAAAACTAAATTGCTTCCTTTCATTTCTGAAAGTTTTTTAAAGTGTTCTAAATTTTAATTTTTTAAAAATAAGACAGTTATAGTTTTCCCTCTCCACGATCTCCCTCTTGCTATCAAGCCACTAGACTCCTCAGAGAAAGAGGGCACATACTGTAATACTGCAAGTGACCTGGGTAATTTCTGCCTGTTGCAGATCGCTACATCTTATATTTCCTTCTGCAGGTTTCTCAAGACAAATCTTAAAACCACTCGGGGGGGTTTCCATCTTTTCCAAGCTTTTTTTTCTCCCTTAAAAACTCATTTGAAGCAAAACTTTCTGAACAGCTCTTCCTTTTAAGTCAAATCTTCCCACTGTCCTAGGACTATCCTTAATGAATTTTTTTTTTTAATGCTAGTATGACCAAAACTCAACGGCAAATAACTCCATTGCTTTTTCACTAGTTTTGATATGAATATTACTTTAATGATTTTTAAAAAATCACTGCTTTTAATCTTCTCCTATTCAATACAGATGTCTATTACTTTCCACATCTATCCAGTAATTCTTAAATCAAGTGGTTTATTAACCACATGCATTTAATTACTCTTTTCCGAAACTGTTCTGTTAGCTTTTAACGCTATCCATCGTTCTGACAGTAAAAGATTTTCCTCACCTCTTTTCCCGGAGAAGAGAAAGTTGACAACCTCCCATCAGAACAGACAGTCCACTGGCTATGCCTGCCCTACGCAGGAACGCCGCATCTAATCACAGCTGAGATCGTACCTGATACGCAGTTATACTCAGTGCTCGGAGTGATGGGAATGAATCGCTTTAGCAACTCTGGGTTCCTATAGGCATTTCATCAAAACAGGGGTGGTAGGACAGGATGATATCCAGGAAAAAAAAAAAATTGACATAGGTAGTACCTCTGAAAACTGGCTCTCTGCAAACACTGTCTATCCTTTTGTCTGCACCAAGATGCACGAGTCTATAACATCTGAAGTGAGCCCACATGTAGGGATTTCTGCTCTGCACCCCGCTGACTGGGGCAAGCCCTGCCTTCCCCGAAGGGTGTCCCTGCTCCTCGTGCCTTGCCTGGACTGCAGCTTCCCTACCTCCTGCTGCCGATGGGCAATTCCTCTTCTGGCAAGCCCCTGGCTGGCCTGACCTCTGTTCCCTGGACACGTCTGTCTCTGGCTGCTTAGTTTGGTATTAATTCATTTTCGTTCCTCATCCAGGGGAAGAGTTCTGGGGAGGCTGCTCTTGCACCCCTGTCATGCCACTGACACCAACACCTACATTTTCCCTTCTTGCGTTGCTGCTCTAATTGCAGCTCCTGACAAGGGCTCTGCCACAGCAGTGAGATGACAGCTGTTGGGTGCGTGTACATGAAGGGCATCCTTACAAACCCACGGGCACGGCAGAGGGTGGCGTTTCAGAGGCTTGGAGCCTCTGGAGTGCTAGTCTTGCAGCTTTTTAGGAGGTTGTGAGGGCTACTTCATTCTTCCCCTCTTGCTTATCTTTCTGCCCAGCTAGTGCTCTGCAGCAGCCTTCTTTAAGCCTCTCTCCTCTCTTCTCACTCCGTGTCAATTTAAATGGTAATGTCTTAATCAGTTTTGCATATGCATCTGGGATAATAGTTCTTACTCAGAGGGAACGGGGAAAATATAATACGATGTTTGACCTGAATTTTCTGCCAAAACCCTGGACTGACCTCTTTCCTTCATATTGAACTGCTTTAGCTGTTTCATTACACATAGTTCAGAAGACAGACAGCCATCAGAGAGTGACTGTTGGTCACTACTTGTCTGCATCCAACCTGACCTACACACATTTAAGTAAAAGCTTGTTTCCTGTTACCTGTTTCTTCTTCAGGCTTTCTGATCCCTCATCTTTTTGTTCATAAGTGCCATATAAGTGAAACATAATATTTTTCTAAATCAACTAAACAGTTTTTCTCCAAATGAAGGGGGAAGAAATGGTGCATAAACTCCTCTTGTTTCTAGTCCACATTGTGTGATGGTTTCTCAGCAGTGTGTTTTAAACTTAAATGTTGGCTTTCCTAAATGTCAGGGGATGTGTTCTGGGAATATCTTATTTATGTGAAGTTTGTGCATTTTGATATGAGAATAGACAGTGAATGGGAGAGGAAAGTAAAGGGAAATATGTTACCCACAAAGTTGCTTTTTCCTTACCTGTACTGTCATTGTATTTGTTTTAAAAGTAGTCTTAAAAACGATGAAGGTTAGCACATTTCCAAAAGAAGTGGGAGTCTATATCATTTTACAGTACGTGGGTAGACTTAAAAGTAGAACCTAAATCCAGTCCATTCCTAAGATAAATGCTTATTGCTATATTTGAACTACTAGTGGGTACCCAAACTTCTGTAGAATCCATACAGCCACATAAATTCTTCAGTTTTACAACCTGAGATTTTCCTCAATATTTTCTCTGTCAGATCACACGTATATGCTATTTTTTTAGCATTAATATTTTTCTGTTAAGTTTTAAGTCTGCTAAATGAATTTCCCATGTTCTTCCTACAAATATTATTTTCCGTATCTAAGCTGTCTGCCATTTTGCCAGGAGTATTAAATGGCAAAAGAAAAACAAATACTGGTCTGTTAAAATCTGGGGGCATCTTATGGTAAGTCTTCACTGTTGTTCCCATTATTTTGTGCTCTGTAAAAGCAACTAAGTGGCAAGAAGGACCCCTAAAAATACCTGGCCAGCAAGGCTGGATTTCCCCTGATTTAAATACCAGAGGAAGATGACCAGCTTCCACAGAGCTTCATTGCAGAGCATCACATAGGAGATGGAAGGTGCCTGCTGAGAGAAAGTGAGAGGAGAAAGATTTTAAGCAGCTGTGCAGCCCTGGGTAAGAAGCTCTCAGTGCAATCTCAGTTCTCTGCCACAGGTTTCTTGGCAAGGACCTGGAAATTAGTCACATGTGCTGGACACAGATCTGTCGGTAATTCTCCCCTCCACAATTTATTGGCCAATTTCTGACAAATCTGAAGGGGGAAAAATGTACCCAGTGAAGCTGAAAAACTGAAAACTTAATGAAAAGAGGTGATTGATTAGAAACACCTTTACTGTGTGTAATACTAGACACCAGAGAATCTACTCAGGTGAGCCCTTCTCCAAACACAAGAACTGTTCCAACTGGAGTCTGTACCCAACCACAAGGTACAAATCCACAGGAAAGCAGGCTTTATTAGTCCTAATGTTTACAGAATATCCTTTAAAAGCTCATTAATTAGCCACTGGGAGAAGCCCACCATCTTCACTGCATCTAGGGACTGCAGGTAGTCTGTCCAGGTGGGTGAAAACAGGGCTTTCCTTCTCAAAATCTTGTGCTCTGCCAAATCCCAGCCTGCAGTTCCTCTGCAAATTTGCAAGCTAGAATGGCTTCTCAAAAACTCAGAAATCATTATTATTTTGACTATCTTATTTCTTGTCTCACTCCTGGTTTCCTAGGCATGCTATTAAGAAAAAGGAAAGGATAGGATCCTGTCATGAAAGCCGTCCGTAGAAATTAGGAAAATATCTTCTCTGTCAACTACTTATATCATCATGTGGAATTAATTAAGGCTTTACTCATTAGGGCTGTATTCTAAAGAGTGATTAAAGATCTATATACACTTTATCATGTGTTATTCATTTCTGTAGGGTTCCCTAGAATGGGAAGGAAGTAATTATAAAATAAAAACCAGTGAAAAATATTTTAATTAGTAACCAGAAAGAAAAAGCTCATAAAAGTATTATGAGTTCAAAATTTTTTAGATACTGCCAGAAAAACAATTCAAAGATAGTAGTGGGTGCATGAATCATGGTTTTAAAATTCCTGTTAGTGAACATATCATAAGTTAAAATTGAGATAAGGTCTTTAGATACCTAATAACCCCCCTTAATGCATTTAGTCCATTAAGTGCAAATGCGTTTTCATTTTGTGCTCGCCAGGAATGTCGAGTATCATTAAATAGTTAGGCACCCAATGAGGAGTCCCTGAGCCTTGATAGATAGCCTTCCAGGTAGGAAGTGTGTATCCATCTGCTTTCTGACGTTTGGTGCTGGTGCTGGTGTGATGCAGCAAATGCAGTTTGTGATAGAAAAGCGGAGAAAAAGATTTATGGTTGCAGCTGGTGTCAAAACTAATTTACTCCCTTTGCTGGTGTTTACACTGCGGCTTTCAAGACTATTCTTGAATGATTCACTTCCCATTTAATGTTCTCATTAAACAAACCTGATCAACACAAGCCACTAGGCGCTGTCTCATTTTGCAAGAGTACATCTTTTTTCTTGAACTGCATAGCAAATGGTTTCACTAAACCAGCTAAATCGACCCCTTAAGTCCAATGACCAAATTTAATAACTGTTCATCTTTGCTAAAGTACAGTGTTTAATGATCTCATTCATTAATACATCAATGGTTGCTTTGGCTGATTAAATTTCTTCCATCATTTTGACAGTATGATCTAAATGTAAAGTACAAATATTCCATGTAAAAATGAAACATTGTATTCTGGGCCAATGTCATAGATTATTTCTTAACTCACTCCAGTAGCCTACCAGCGGAGTGCGTGTTAGGAGCCTTCAGAATTGCTCTCCAGTGTAGAGGTACTAATCGCTGTACTTGGGAGCCAGAAGCACTTGCATAGATTTGAAGTCCAGGAAGGAGTATGCATAAAGCACAGTCAGAAAGGATTCTTGCATTTATATAAAGCAAAATTAAATCAGGGAATGTTAGCACACAGTCATATGTAGATTTTAGTTAGTAGTCTGTAAAGTCCATCATTGACAGCAGCAATGACACTGGTAAGCAGCATCTTCTTAGGGTACCACCTCTTATTTTACCATGTTATCGGGATTGTTTCACACAAGGAGATAATAAAAGCATTCTTTTTTCCCTTAAAATGGCACTATGGCATTCATGTTATCTTCAACATCCTATTCTGATTGCTCTCATCCTTTGTTTTCCCTCTGTGAGAGCCGATGACTGAAAACACCTTTTTTAGGTCCTTTGAGTTCAGCATTAAATAGTTTGCATCTATCAACTTACTGCTCTTACACTAAACAATTCAACAGCTCATTTCTCGTCTCAGATCCGTGGGCTGCATTAAATGAGAGAGCCTAAGAGAAACTCACTGTTAAAGCAATTTTAAATGCCCTCCTTTACGGGCTCAAGGGACTGTGCTGCTGAAACAAGGATGATAATAAAAGTAGAACTGTTCAGTCATATTCGTGAGCTGTTTCAGAATGTTTCACTTCCAAAGGGGCAGAGGAGGCCCACACCTTTACAACTAGAGAGGGAGGAGAACTAATTGCTTTCTTTTCTCCATTAACTCTACTTAAGCATGTCAGACAAATTAACTTGGTTAAATTCTTACTAAGCAAATTTTCTTTAAGGGCTAATGAATTCCAGAAAGATAATGAAAAAGTGAATGTAGCCTTATGATTTAAAGCTAAGTGTCAAAATCTAGATCAAGTAGTTAACTGCATTGTCTTCCAAAATATAGTAGGGCATAGCACTAAGTTATTCATTTGAAATAAAATTGACAAACAATCAATGAGGAAGAAAAATGTAAAAGTCTCCTCCGTTTACTTTTTAATCATTTCTATAAGAAGAAGAATCCTGTGGTTTACCTAGACAGCAATACAGAAACAATTGAAAGGTCATTGAATGAGTAATTTTGTTTTGCTGACGCACCTCTTCTGATTTCTGTTGGCAATCTTAAGACTAAGTGTCAAGGGTTCATGTCTTCAAAATCAGAGCAGCAGTTGGCATTTTTATGAGTAGTCCTAAAGGAAGGTCAGATCTTTACTGAATATAGAAATGGTTTCTAGTACTGGATGTGGGCAGAGTTTTTGCCAAGTAAGGCTGAAACATGCTTTGTTTATGGAGCAGGATGTGGAAACCATATGATTGCTAATCATACACCTGGTTCTGCGGTGTGTATGGCAAAATTTAATTTCTATAGTTACCATTCTGGTATCTTTCTGTATTAAAAATAATGATTAAAAATGCAAATACCAAGAATATCTGAGCAAAAACGTATGTGTTATATTTATACTCAAAATACAGTGAAAACAATGTGATAAAAAGCCCTCTTCAGCGCTTGTCAGCCTTAAAGGCACAACACATCAAGAATATGTACATGAGTTCATTAAAGATGTGGAAGGATGCATTTCCACAGAAATGCTCAGACAATATTTACACTTGGCATCCATTCATTTTTCTCTATATATTGCCAAAGGGATTAGACAAAAATTTTATTTTAACAGATAACTTAAATGCAAATAGTATTTTAAAGGCTTTCGTTGCCTTTATTCCATACTAGGCAATCTTGCCTAGTTTGGAATAACTTTTACAGAACTTTTATAAATGCCTACCCATTTAATATAACAAATAGTTTCCTGAAAAATTAGCACTTCTTTCCAGTGTCATCCATAGCAAACGAAGAATATAAAGAAAATGTTTTTCAAAGAAAAGGGAAATAAAACAATGAGTTTACAAAAATTTTGTATTGTAAGAGAGATTTTAAAAGCCATTATACTCTTCACACTTTTCAGTGGTAGTGAAAAGTCAGTCATCAGTCACTCCGTTGCATCATTTGTAATCATTCACCTGTAAGACTGATACAACTGAGGTGTTTTTATGTGTGTGTGTTGGGGTTTTTTTCTGCCCTCTTTATGGATAAGCAGCTTGTAACTGATTTTGCAGAAGCTGTGAACACAAATGTACTTACAGTTACCGAGGTAAAACAAGCTAATGCCACCGTGCTGAGTTGTATAAAATCAAACCTATTTGTGCAACTAATTGTACTTTTCACCTGCTTTGGAAAATAAGTACTTGGGACTCCTTTTGTGTTTGGTGATAAAATGGACACAGAACAGCGAGAAAAGAGCTATTGAAGCAAATGTCTTCTGAGAGTAGATCATTAGAACAGGGTGGGTGGTTGCCCAGGGCTCCTGTTGCCCAGATTTCATGTTTGATGCTTACCGATCATGAATTAGCATAACATATGATTTATGTTTGTCAGTGTGGCAGCCGTTTGGAAACCTGAACTGTTTGAGAGCAGTAAATATATTTCCTAGTATAAACGTGTCTCCTACCTCTCACTGTTAGTTTCTTCCGTTTCTTCTAGTCATTTTCCAAAGAGCAATGGAGCTTCTTTGTAAGTAATGGGGCAATAAACAGCTTTGCATTATAGCTATAGGATTGAACGAGCAAAAGGGATTGTTTGCCGCCCAGAAGATTGTTCTCCTCTTTTAAAAACCAGTTATATCTATGAAGTTGGAAAGAGAAAGTTGGAGGGGAGTCTGGATTATGGAGGCACAGGGAGGAACGCCTGGGGCTATTGTGAGGAGGGTTCTCTGCACCTGGAGAGAGTACCTCTAGATGCCTCCAACTTTTAGCAGTCCTGTCCATACCAACAGTCAGCTCAAATTTCTCCTTGGGACTCTCTGGTATAATGGGAGGTGCTATTTGCATAAACTATGAGAGTCTTTATACTGAAAAAACTTTAAAGTCATGTATTGTAGCACTGGTGTTTCTGCTGCGCTCCTGCTGCACAGGTTTTCTGATGTCCAAGTTGTACTTGTTCATGGCCAGCGAGAGACGTTTCAGGTCCCAGGGCCAATAGTCACTGTACTGATGATTCCTTCCTATGCTGCCTTCCATTTCCTCACGCTACAGCCCTCTCCCGTACTTCCTTCCTTTATTTCTGGCACTTCTGGAGGGGCAGGTGGTGGGGTCTGATGGGGGTTAGGGTCAGAGCAAGGAGGGAGGGGTGGTTGGGCCTTGTGTTCTGTCTTTCAGGCAAAGTCAGCACTGGCTGGACCTGCGGAGCTGGGAGCCCGTGAGGCTGCATGTGTGACCCCATGTGCATACGCTGCGGGGGGTGGCGAAAGCAAAGAACAATTAGGATTTCTCCTTTACTGCATTACGTCTGAGTGTGTCGCTTTACTCCATTTGAGAAGAAAAAAATCTGTTACAGGCTCAGTCACCTTACTACACTTTCTCTGTAGCACTGGAAGGAATGACAAAAAGAATAACATGTAAGATAAGGACACAAATAATTTACTCTTTTTCTCAGATATTTACTTCTTCTCGTTCTGAGCCAAAGAACAGGAGGTCAGCGAAAATCTGTGAGCTTAACTGACTCTAATACGACCATTAAGCAACTTGAATATTCAATAACTTTATTGGGTCTTTCAACATTCTTCAGAGTTTTCAGCTTTTCTTCCAAACTTTTGTCAAATCTGCAGGTTTTATCGAGACTTTGACATTTAGTATCAGGCCTTCCTGGTAAACTATAGGCCTAGCATTGTCACAGGTTGTTTTCTTCATTGTGTATCTGTATTTGGAACATGCAGAGTGTTTCCTTGAAATGAGCAGCCTCTATTTTATTTATGTATAAATATATATACATACTTGCTTATTTCTGGAGGACTCACAGCAGTGGTTTTATGCTGCCTTAGAATAGGTCTAATAATATGTATTACATTGATGCACATACATCTACTTCCAATATGACTGCTCCTCTTCAACTTCACGCAAGCAAATTGTATTGAACTTTTCTATGGACGTTTGGAAAGAAAAGTTATATCAGAATTTATGGTTCTAACACTGTCATTTTAATATGAAATTATCCGATTGTTATTAAAAACTGTTATTTTCTAAGGTTATTACGCTACATAATTTAAATCTTCTTTTTCTAAAGCTTGCAGTTCATTGTTATAAAAAACAAACACAGAAAACTTCACTTGTTCTGAGACACCTTTCACACCTCTCCCCTTGTTAAGAAAGCATTTATTTTCTGACCATGACAGCGTGATTTATCTATTACTCCGTGTTATAACCTCTCCCATGGAGAGTCTTTATTAGCTTATTTTTGTATCCTATCCTTGTATTATTTTTGTATCCTTGTGCCTGGCAAGAAATTCATTGTGATTGTGCACAGAAAGTAAATAATTACCTAAACCCAACTTTACTATGTCACTGGATCATCAAAAACTGGTTTTAACTTTTGCTTGCTGCTACGAAATGTTGTGCCTCCTTATTTGACTGGTCTGCCATTGTGAGCTCCCGGGCAAGTTGCACAAATTCTCACGGCTTCTTTTGCGTCCTCCTGCAGTACCCCCGAGGTTTGTGGTTCAGCCCAGCGACCAGGACGGGATCTATGGAAAAGCTGTAATTCTCAACTGCTCTGCAGAGGGTTACCCTGTTCCTACCATTGTCTGGAAGTACTCAAAAGGTAGGATTCCTCCTGCTGTCACCGGGGACAGATTAATTCTGGTTTAGGAACAGCTACCTGTAAGTTACTGGTTTAATCTTCACGTTGTCAGCGGCTGGCAGGGTGCAATAAGGGAAATATCAGTCATGTTTATGCTGTGCTTCTATCATTCCCCTAAGCACGTCTTGCTGGCTGTCGTCACAGAGGCAAGGCTGAGCTCAGTGGACTTTTGGTCTACCATAGGGACATCCTGGAGCTGTGAATGTGTGCCTGTGTTAGCTATGGCCTCAACGGGTGAGTGATGAAATGGACGCTGAGAGAAAAGAGGTACTGCTTTAATTGAAACAACCTCAGAAAAAGGTTCACCGGCAGCATTTGTCTGACTTTTTCCCCCCTTCAAAATCCATGATAGCATGGCCTATCATATCTTTTCAGCAAAGAAGAAAGGTCAGGTAGCATTAGCATAAGCAGTAATTCAGTATGCGCTTTACATAATGCTTTAACATTTTCCTCTCATGTAACAGAGCATTAAAACTGGCCCCACTTGACCCTCAGTAAGCATAGGAAATTGACTACTTTTTAATTAAAATATGCTGCCTGCTAGATTGTATCTTCTGGCCAGTTGTCTTCTGGTTGGTTTTAGCAAGAAAACAAACTCTACAAACTCTATCCAGTCTACACGGGTTAACTCTTTAAAAAGCACAACCACGTGCTGTTGAGAAGAAATCTTGTCCGTGTCATTTTTGGTTTCCTTAGGATCTAAGTCTAAATTATATTTGAAGAAAAAGGGTGGGGGAAGAGAAACTTTCATGCTAAAGGCTACTTTTGCCTTAATTGATAAATTCTGTTTCCTGGCAAGAAGAGTGAAGAGCTCCAAATGCTATTAATCTCAATGATATATGGGCTTTTATTATGAATATAGGTCACAAAGAAATAATTCTGTTTTGTTGTGTTTGCGTGCTGAAGGAGGAGACCAAGCCAAGCTATCTGAGTTGTAATTAAATGTGAAGAGATAAGCAGCCTATCTTAATAAAGGAGAAATGGATAGTGGTTTGATTTTAGTGACAATTTACCATGAAGTGACTGTTTCTAAGATTTTCCATTAACAGATCTGAAGTTTTTAAGTCAAAGACAGTAGACACTCGATGTAGGCAAAGCCATCAACTGCAGTTTCAGGTTTTGGCCAAAATAACTCTAGGTGAAAAAATCAGTATTTTTGCAGAAGCCTGCATTTTGCTAATGGATGACTGCAATTTTAATACCTAGTCTAAGGTGCTGTACAGATCTATAGGATATATGCTACATCTTCCCTTAAAGAGACACATTATGTAATTGGTTTGTGAGCAAGATTTGTGCCAAATTCTGAAATAGAGAAATTCTGAATAGAGATGAAACTAGCAGGTGTAAACCAACCAACTAGATCTTAGTTCATTTGTAGGTACCACAACAGAGTAGAAAGGGCATCTGTACACCTGAGAGTAAGTTAGTGTCATTGGTGTTCCATGTCAGTAAAAAATGAGAAAAGTGGGTTCGTTTTTTTGCACATTGGGATAGACAGGTAATGGAAGTGGAAACTTGCTGTCTTTAAAGAATAATGACAGTCATCAATACAGACATCAGCAATAATCTGTTGTTTTAAGTCCTTCAAACTTAAAGAGGCAATGGGCACACACTGAAACACAGGAGGCTCCATGTGAGCATGAGGAGACACTTTTTACATGAGGGTGACTGAGCACTGGCACAGGTTGCCCAGAGAGGCTATGGAGTCTCATCCTTGGAGATATTCAAAAGCTGTTTGGATGTGGTCCTGGGCAACCAGCTTTAAGTGGCCCTGCTTGAGCAAAAGGGTTGCACCACATGACCTTCAGAGGTCCCTTCCAACCTCACACAGTCTGTGATTGTGTGATTTCATGAGCATGTAGTCCTCTTTGCAGATTCATCCATGCAGTTGTGTGTGATAAGCTGCTGCCACTGCTTAAGCAGGACTTTGGCTGTAATAGCACTAATGGTGTGTGAAGAGTAAGAAGCCTTTGCAAACTGTTATGCAAAATTTGGCCCGGCTGTAGCTATCCTCAGGAGTATCAACCCTTTGCCTTCTCTGAGCACCAAATTGTCCCCAGAATTTTTCATGTGAAGATCTATAAGAAGTGAGTGTTTACATCTATTTTTTTGGGCAATCAATTGCAGACAGGTAGAGTTAGCAAAGCATAAGTGTGCCTTCCAATTAAATGACAGGAAAAATGATTTATTAAAGAAAAAATATAGACAAAGGGGGAAGTGTGATATACATGTGACAAAAGCGGTTGAAAAATCAACAATGGAAACTGATTTTTGTGAAAACATTATCCCATTAACATTTCGAAGTTCATGGTATCAGCCACCAGAACCTTCAGTGTGACTGTAAATCCCTGAAGCAAACTCTTCTAGGACTAGAATAATTTTCAGTATTCATGTTTTGTCATTTTAATATACTAGATGTTATATTCATAGGTTGTTATAGCTTGCCGTTTTATACTAAACCATTCTCCATAGTATTTATTCATTGTATTTCCTCCTGGGCTGACTCAGCCAACTGCGTATAGTAATTAATGCTGACAGATATCAACTTCGTGTACAGAAAGTGGTATGAGAATTCCATTGAAGAAGACTGCCTTATGATTTCCCTGAAAAATCCCATCTCCTGCTGCCAAATTTGGTTGTAAAACCCTTTGTTACAAGAACCATATTTTAGTATACACTTGGATTGTTCCTAATGCTGGAGGAACCTTAACTTGTGGTGGGACTCTGTACAGCACACTGGCAGTACAGTAGTATCCTGTCCCTATCCTCTAAATCAGCCAGTGCCTTATTTCCAAGGAAAAGTAGGTTCTTTCTTAAAGCCAAAGTTGACACAGAAAACTTTGGCTTCCTGCCTTTTTATGGACCTTATATTTTTACATTACCACCAGACATGGCACCTCATGCCTGAATAGTGTTCTGAGCTTTTTGTTTCTATCTTTCCTCATAATTTTTTTTTTAAACAGTCCAGATAAATACTGGCTACAGACATGGCAGAACAGAGATTTTCTGTGTCATCAGTCAGTCAGCTGTAGGGGAAAAACAAGCAACACACAGTCACTGATGTGGTTTTCCACGTTACCCAGAGTTTCGTAAACAAGGTCCTAGAGGTCCCTTGAGTATGCCATGTCTACTACAGCAGACATCCCTCTTAGTCATAAGAAATTCATTTGGTGTATGCATGAGATGCATACTTGTGTGACTGTTCAGCTGTAATTGTCAATAATTTATCAGCCTCTAAATGTACAACAAATATGCCTTTTTACCCATGAGTGGTCTGAAAATCTCCTTCATTTTCTTTCTCCCTCTTTCTGGTTTTTCCACACCTGCTTTAGCCCCTTTAACATGGGCAAGTTATTGCTACTATTGCATTCCAAAAGTCTTTCTTCTTTCCGTTTAATGAATTTCGTTTTGGCAAAGAACCATTCTGTTTGTTCTAATGATGACAGAAGCCATTCATATTTTAAGTGAATTGAGCCTCTAAGACCAGGAGGATATAGTTTATGCCTTATTAAAAAAAAAAAAAAAAAAGAAAAATGCTTTCCTTCCTAACTAACCTATTTCCATGGGGGTCCTGCTTTAGGTGCCGGGGTTCCTCAGTTCCAGCCGATTGCACTGAACGGTCGTATCCAGCTTCTCACAAATGGCTCCTTGCTGATTAAGCATGTGCTGGAAGAAGACAGTGGATACTACCTCTGCAAGGTCAGCAATGATGTGGGAGCAGACGTCAGCAAGTCCATGTACCTCACTGTTAAAAGTAAGAACTAAAAAACTTCTCTGTGATCCAGATATTACCATTGAGTGAAAAGGGCTTGTCTACTGCATCCTTAGTTTGGAGGGAAGGGAGGTTGGGAGGAAGGGCAGAGCTTGATTTTGTTGGTTTTGCTTTAATGTTGGTATTTAACTGCATGTGATAGCACCTGGAAGTTAGTATGGTTAATAAAAAACATTGTTTAGTAGAGGGAGCAAAAGGGACTTAAAGATGAAAAGGATTAACATCTCATTTCAAAAATTTGTATCATGTCTATGAGCTACAGCTAAGTAATGAAGAGGAAGTAAGAAAATTCTTTGGTCAAGGGTAAAAAAAAAAATTACAAAGGAGAAATACCCACAGCAACTGTTAGAAATCTCAGAAGTTGAAGAAAATATGGATTATGAAGTCCCCTGATCTATTTTCAAGATGTCATAGATATATACTATAGACACAATTAATTACAGTAGATAACACAAGATGCTGTAACATATTATAAGATATTACAGATACAGCCACAGTATTCATTTTGACTTAGCCACTGGCAGATAACTTTCAGAAAATGCAACTAATTCTGTTGAATCTGAAGTGCATATACAACCTCAACCTATCTATACTTTCTAGGCACAAGAGACAAAAACAATCCAGTTTTTAGGTCCATGTTAATTATAACTCCTTCAAACATGAACATAGCTGAGAATATAGAGGAAATATTATGAAAAGTAAAGCTGTAGGGATCATATAATTTCTCACTGGAGAAAAAAGAGACTATTGACACTTCAGTACGTCAAACGTTCCTGGACGACCTGTTAGACCAGTATTGAAGGAGGTCACCAAGCCATGCACTTTCATGTTTGTAGGATTTTTGAAGATTGACTGAGTGCTTTGAAGTTCTGAGAGCACGTAGTCAATTAGCTTGGAAAAAACTCGCCCTTGCAAGCAAAAAAGGTTAGATTTTTCTTCTGAAAGGAAGGAAAATCCAACTTATTCTCTATTGGAAAGATATACTTTGACTTAGACTACTAATCCTTAGTTTTAGGGGTGGTGTGTGTTTGTTGTAATGTCAGAAATTTATTAACTAAGGTCTTTGAAAGGAAGAGCGAAAGTCCAAGTACCTCAAACGTGCTCTCCACGTTCTTTTTTACTATATAATTTTTTTATTTACCATAGTGACTTCACCTTCTGAAAAATAACATGATACCCCAAACTCTTAAGCAAGTATCTTAATTGCATATTTTTTCTGTGGATCAGTAGAAGTTCCAGTTTCTGTGGTTTCCATAACTGGCCATCTTTGGGGCAATCTTCAACTGTAGTAGCAGTGCACTGCTGTAATATGCTAGAGAAAAACAGCTTTCCTCTGGTTGGCAGCTATGCACACTGCCTGTCTGATCACTGCATGCAGTTTCATGTGTGATAAAAGAGCATCTCTTATCAAATAAGAGCAGGAGCTTCCCCGGAGAGTCAGTTGCTGTTTGAATCTAATGAAAACCCCTTCGGCTCTGAGATAACAGGCAAGCACGTCTGTACACCCACACACGTCCACACTGACACACGTACTGCTCCCAGCACGGCTGCTAGAGCAAACGTGGTGGGCGTGTTGGTGCGTGTGTAGAAGGGACACAGCTTTAGCTTTAATCAAGCACACATTAAGGACAGGCTGCTTTGGAGAGTGACCTGAGTGGAAGTGTGCCATAGTGGGCTTCAGGTATAGCTGGATCCCCTGTTCTGGCAGTGTGGTTACGGCACGTAGTGTTTGTACCTCGTCAGGTGGAGTGACTCCAAAGTGAGGGCCTGGACCTGCCTTTATTCTCTCTTGTACTGTATCTTGTCATTTGTTGTTTTCTTTTTTTTTGTGGTTATTCTGGCTCCTTTTCCCTCTTCCCCACAAGCCTGTTTCTGGACCCCATTCCTCAGGTATAGCCCTACTACTAGATAAAAACCTGGGGCTTCCTTCGTGAAATCCACAATGTTCTTAGTTGATCCTGCCTCCACAAGGTCACCCTACATGTCTTCTTTACTCAGAGGCAGAAGGTGAGACCTGAGCCAGGCAATTGCTCCTGGTTAACAGAGTTGGTAAGTAAGAAACAGCCTTCCAAAACATAAACAAAGATTAACATCAGTATATTTTCTTGTGGCTTCCTTGTGACAAATTGGCTTCCCACCTTCTTTCAGTCTATATGTGGGTTGTCTGTGATCAGTAGCTCAAATCACCTGATAAAAAAGTAGAGTGGCTTAGTTCGATTTAGTTACTGCTCGTGAAACCAGACTGCCTCTCAGAAAGAAAGGCATGGCAGCAGTCCCTTTAGAGCTGCCTCATTCTCTTCTTAACTGTCCTTTGTACCACGGATACCTCAGATGTTAACCATTCATAATGTCACTGCAAACTCAAAAAAACCCAACCCTCTTATGCACAGGTGATTCTTCTCCTCCATGTTTGATAAAAGTTTCCACCTACACTGTTAGTAACTGCTGGATAAATTTTTGGTTTTCATAGATCCTGTTCAATGAGACTGGATGCTTTACTCTTCCAGAATTTCCAGTGTCACCTGTATCTAAACAGAAAAGCTATTGACCTTTGATATCAAAAGAGGGTAGACAAATTTTTGTTTTGATAGTTCAGGAGTGGACAGAATAAATATTGACCTAATATATTTCCATGACTTACTACCTCTAAAATTGACAGACTGTTTTTTTAGTGAAAGCCAGCTCAAGCTATAAACCAACTTGGCTTGCTTAGCAAGACTCTTAATGCTAAGGAAACGGTAGTAATTCCAGATACACGTTTACTTAGTGCCTCAGTGTTTGTTGTGTGACACCTTCATGTCAGAGAAGCTGGTCCAACTTCTTGGTTGAAGGTAGATTGTATGACGAGGGAGTGCAAAGAAAAAAGATGAGAGGAAAAGAAAGAGGCTTCAGGAGTACTAATGAAAATGTTAAAATAGTCAGCAGTTCAGTCACTGACTGCCAGTCAATGCTGAATCAGGAACCACAGGGCTAGAATGACAGCCATGAAAACAGTGAATCTTCAGTTAACAGCTATTATCCTTCTCCCTTTCTTTTCAAGAAATAGACATAAAAATCATGATCAGTGATTTTTTTCTCTTCTTCTGAACCAAGGATAAGTAGTTCTCGAATTCCTTATTCACTAAGACACACAATATTAGAAAATTATGAGAGAGATCTGGAAAAAGGAATCTAGTGCTGTCTTGAGAAATGACTCCTGGTGCTTGGGCTGAGAAGACTTCTAAAGAATTTCTATAAAGGATAATGAGCCTTAAACATGAAGGGAAGAACTAAAATTATTTAAAGGTTGCCTGGGAGTCACAAGGGAAGAGACGTCTGCTTAAAATGGACTGCCTGCCTGCCTTCATCTGAATAAACGTCACACTTCCTAATTCCACTTTAGGGGCTATATATAACAGGGTAGAAAAGTATTGTGAAAAAATTCCCTCCTGAAAAGCAAGCTTTCCTTAAGGTATGTATGTTCCTATGTAAATAATCTGTTGGAAGCAGTCATGTTAACCCTGCCCCTTCTTAAATCCCTCACTTATTTTCATGTCACTGTGGAGCCTGAAAAGTTTTAATCAGATCACCAAAACGTTTCCAACAAATCCTGTCTGCCAAGAAAACAGAATTGCTTCATTCACTTTCCTCTCAAATACGCTGCTTAACTATTTGCATTAAATGTGTTTAAGATAAAAACCTAAAGCCATCAATCAGACCCACACCTCCTTCCAGCAGGAGCAGACTAATCCCAGCTAATACTCCCAATGCTAAGTTTCGCCACTTAAACATTAAAAAACCAACTTTTAAAATTGTTATCTGTGACAAGAGCTGGTGGAATAACAGAAGAAGAGGCTATTTGGGAAAGGGACCCTGATCACAGTATAAAAGCGAGTCTAGTGCCCTGTTCCTGCAGCAACCCTGGGTCTTGGCTGTGGTAATTCACCACTCTGTGCCTCTGCTGCCGCTGCCTCCCTTATAGTGCCTCGCGTCCACGTTGACCCTAACCTCTTCCTGGCAAGACTTGTTTCTCTCAATCTTCAGACAACTCATGGAACAAAGAGGCCCCAATCACATACCTAGCTACTACTGCAAAAGAAGTAAAAGATAATAGTTGCTTTAAACACAAATAAACCCAAAAGATCCTTATGAGGGAAGATTCTGAATCTAGTGGAGCTGTTTCCTCCACTGCTAGCTAACAGTTGTTCCCCCCCACGGCTGAAGCACTGCAGCACTGTTTATTAAAATGGATAGAAGTCTACACCTGGCTTCCTCCGTGAAACTTCATCTGGGCAGGATAAAGACATATGGCCATCCAAATGAACTTGCTTTGCTGCAACACCTGCAGTAAAGCCAGCAAGCTGTGATGGAGGACTTGCTGTGCTCTGCTCACCAGAGTGCCTCTGAATGCTCATTTTAGTCTTTAAGAAAATAATTCCTTGTTGAGAATGTAGGAATGTTGAGATCTCTCCGATTGCTACTTTTCCTAGTGTATGAAAAGAATATCATTTATACATAGATGCTATGCATTTGTTTATGTCCAGTTTCTCATTAAAAATGCACATATCCCACAAGATGTCAGTAAGGGTGGCATTGCCTGTGCTGCATTTGCAAAGGTAGATTGTCTATGCTATGTTATAAAGGAAGATAAAAATCATCATCTCTAACACCTTCAAAAAATGTTTATAGGAAGAACAACAATCATACTATGTCAAATTCACCTGAGCCCAGTTATTTTGATATTTCTTAATCTATCCTTGCTCCATTTTTCACAGTCCCATGGTCTGTAAATAGTGTTTTCTGTGGCCTAAGAAAACAAAGTCCCCATGTCTGATTGTGTACTCTGTTTTACTGTTTTCTTCTCCTGACATTCTGCCATCTTTAAACAAAGGGCTTTTGCATTTATCTGCTTCTTCATACTTATTTTGTGGCTGTCTCAGGTAGAGTGCGTTTTTGTCCAATGGACAAATTTGACCAAAATTGGTAAAAAACTGTAGCTGGAT